GGTATAGCACGTCTGCATGTGAATGGCTTGGAAGCGGTTTAACGCTAATCGCATACAAATACACACGAGACATAAGACAGGAGAGATTGTATGGGAGAAACTAGAGAAACGAAAAAGCTCTGCCTGATTTGAATAACACGCCTCAGGGATTACCGCAGAGAGTTTGCTCTTTCGCACAGGCACCGACACCCTCTCACGAACAGCTTAGGAGCAGAAAGAGCATATGCGACTGCAGTCGTCAGGTTTGGCTTTGTTTTGGATTTTTTGGGAGGTGTTCTCCCCTAAGGATTGTCTGTAATTTCAATGTTAATTTCCTGCCTTCGATTTGTCGAAGCTCTGACCCTGGAACTATCGTTGCTGCCTCTGGGCTGCATCCTCTATTTGTGGACAATAAAACATGTGACTCACTTGAGTTATGTGGCACATTAAGTTGGCCGAGTCTTAAGTGGCTTTTAACCTTATTTCGTTTTCGTTTCTGGTCTGTTCTGGCTGTGGCTCTTGTCGGAGGTCGTTGCTGCAGCATCTACTTGGGAAACATTTCAAGTAGAAAATTATGGTGCAGTAAGTAGACTAGGAAATGCTCTTGAACACACAATTTCGAGCCACAAGAATACTCTGTAAGGCAGAGGCATTTCCAGAACATCAGTTCATGAACAGCACCATTGAACTATCTAAATGTTACCTTTAAAAAAAACTTCTGGCACCTCTGTAAAAAGAGCATGGCATGGCTGAGTTTCCGTGACTTCTTCTCTTAGCAATGCAGCCTTCGCTCACTGGCTAAGTGCCTGCCATGAAAATGCGCTAATGTCGGTTAGTTTACGTGTGTGCATCCGTGTGAGTGAGCGCAACACAGATGCACGAACACATAGTTACATGCAACCCACAATCCCGTCGCAACTTTGTGGTGCACGTCAGAGCCAGCTGCGGGCTGATTTGTTAAGTTGCAGCAGGCAAACGAGAACCACAATTAAATATGGTGGCGCACGGAACACAATCCCCAACCCTCAGTCGGTGCTCATTAGGAATTCTCGCTGTAACCGCACCAAAGTCAGACTGAAATTAGCTGATTGATTATGGATTTTCCAGTCGTTTGCGGTTGGTCCTCTGCCTTCTTTGCTCACCGAAAATTCGTTCCAGAGCTAATCCAACTTAAAGTTTCAGCCTGCCAGAAGTCAACAAGTAGTTCATAATAAAGCGAAGTAATGCCCTGTCATAAAAACCGAAAGTCATGTGGAGAAGGAGCTGGAAGCTGTGCTCTGGGTGTAGACCTAGTCAAGAATTATAGAGTTAGAGAGCACTGCCATTGGAGCGTAAACTCCACAAGTTTATCATTCTATGCGAGGACACTATTCCCTCCGTTTTTCCCCCATTTTTTTGTTCAGCGTCGGCGTGGGTTCAACGATGGCTCAACGAGTGGCATATTAAATAATAATATTTACACGCGAGCCACAGCCAAAACCAAAACCGTGACCGTGGCCGGATCTATGGAGACTATACATATATAAGTTAAATATTCGATTCAATGCCAATGGTAGCTGAAAAGGCATTGCGCGTGAAACTTAAACCAACAGCAAAGAAAAACAAGAGAAACACTTGGCTATATATTGCCTAGCCGTGGCGGGGCGGGCCGTTGGCCTAAGCTACTTAGGCGCGAAATGTTTTCATATTTCTTGGCCGAAGACTCCTCCCAGCCATTTGGCAGATTAAGCCACTTAGTTTCGGCCTCCTGCGTTGTCGCTGTCGTTGTCACAGCGTAAACAATATTTAAATGAGTTTAAAGTGCGAGGAGCCAAACTCAGAGAGGAAGAGAGCGATGAGCGAAGTAATGAACTTGGGAGGCGGGCGGAAATTGAATTTGTAATAAAAGCGATGAGGATGCCACTAAGTGTCGCCTTGCATTTTGTCAGGGGCACAGGCGTGTACGCACTGCCATGGAAGGAGAGAGTTTGGCCCAGTAAAACAGGCAATAAATTGCCTGCGTGTGTGAGTAGTTAATTTTTTCAACACGAATTAATTGATGCTTATGCTGCCGCAAATGTGCGAAATTTAATGGATAACTTTTTTATTGTGTGCCTTTCGGGGGGGAAGAATTAACGACAAATTGCATTAGAAGCGTCAGAAAAACCTGAACCTAAGCCAGAACGTGATCCAAATCCAGTGACCGAAATTGGGTTTCCTTTCTCTCTCTCTGTCTTCTTGTGTCTCCTAGCTTTGGCACACACGCACATTAACTTTTTCAATTAAGTTGTCGATCAAAAGGCAACGAGAACAAAAACCCACAACAGGGGACAGACACAGACACAGGCACAGAGAGACAGACAGCTAACTCACACACAAACACATACACAGAGCCAGAGACACTCTCTAACACACAACACACGCACATTTAAATCAATAAAAATCAATCATACGCAGTGCGGTGTGTTGGGGTCTTCGGGTGTGGTACAGGTGTGCGTAGACCGAGGCCAAAACGTGCAGCATAATTTAATTTACGGCACAAAATGTTGCCTTGCTGGCACAATAAAAATGATAGACATTTACTGGGCAGCCGTGCAGGAACCAGGTTCGTCCGGGTGCAGGGACAGGGTGTTGAGTTTATGAAATTAAATCGCAAAGTCAGCAGAGAGAAAGAGACACAGCAGTCAGAATCATTTAGGGCCAGCCTGCAGATGATGATTTTGAGTGTTTCGCACCTCAGTCCAGTAATTAAATAAACCTGAAGCCAGATTTTCAATCTTTGCTTTCATTCTGATGCACCTTTAAGGTCTTTAAGGATGAATTCAAGCCAAAATGTATGCATGCACATGACATAAATCTTATTTTAATTTTGAATTTCCTCACGGCCAGCCCGACGCTGCACGCTTTCGCTCTCGTTCTCTCTCTCTCTCTCTCTCGACAGCCCAACCGCATGCCATATTTCATGGGATAATAAATTGCAAAGCGAAAATCAATTTCCATTTTGGTGTGTAAAATGCAGAAGTTTCCAAGGGATTTCTTTGCTCTCTGCGAAGGATTCTGCAGACTTGCTGCGTCTCCTAGTCATGTTCCTGTTCCCCATTCAATGTCCGGTGGCAGTTCAGGAAATTAAAGATCAGTTTCCACAAATAAAATACTTATCGCTTTCCATGTGTGTGCTTTCTGGAAGATTCAAAATTAAATATGTGCAACAGCAATACCAGTAGAGTCTGCAGCTGCAGCTGCAACAGCACACAACTCAATCATGAAGTGGGTGCAAATATATCTCACATTTCAGCGACAGCTGCTGACACATTTTGCCATCTTACGTATGTTGCTGTCGTTGGCGCCGTTGCGCTTCTTGGTTGCATTGCATTTGAAATGAGCAATAATGAAATACCATGCTGTTGGCTGTTACCACTGTTGATGCCTCACCTGTCTTGTCACTCCCACAGCCATCACTGCCAGACCGCTCCAGAAGGCGTCGGCAAATCAGAAGTTCGTGCGTAGGGAAAATGGAAAAACTTTTGCACGTACAAAATCTACTTTTCTATTACTTTTTTTTTGTGTTCTTCTGCTCTCTCAACTCACGGCGTGGCGTGTGATTTTCGTGTTCAATTTTGCACCGTTTGCGTTTCTCTATTTTCTTCTGGTGCTTTTCTGATGCCTTTTCGTCCAGCTACTTTCACTGTGCCGGCACGTTGTATTCAATTTGTTTTGGTAACAGCTTGGCACAAGTTCTATTAAATAATAAAGTCGATTTGCACGATGTTCACTAAACAGACCGGCTGACAGCCTGCCCCGAGGATGCCAGCACCGGCGGGTTTTCCTATTTTTTTGTATTGTTATTCAATGCAAATCCAGACAAAAGTTTCTCTTTGGCATACAAACAGCTTACTTTAAAATTGAGTTAACTTTCGGAAAGAAATTAAGACAAAAGAACTTGGAAAGCAATTATGTATGTTTCTTAAAGATGAGTATTAAATCAACGAACCATTTCTATAGAAATGATTATAAAGGAGAGTTGTCATACACTGTATGGCATTCATTCAAGCTGTCATATTATATGTACTGCTTGCTCATTTGAACCCAATCTGCTGGCTTGCGTGCAGTAACAGTAATCAGGCACATAAAAAAAGATTGGACAGATGTAACGGAACCACTTGAAAAAGCAGAAGCAGAAGCAGGAGCAGAAGCAGGAAGTGCTGAAGCATGCACATGCACGCTGTTCTCCGGTTTACCTGCTTTCAAGCAGTGAAACTACTGCTGAAGCTGTGGTGTGAAAGCAGTTATTTGCTGTAAATGTCAGAATTTGACCCACAATAACATCTACATATAATACATATTTAAAAAAATGTAATTGACCCAATAGCCCTAGCATTACGTTTGTATGTACGTGTGGAGCACAGATGGTCACTGGGCTGCTCAGCAGCACTTTTCCATATTTCAATGAATTGCGTGCATTTAAAAAATATCCCATTCCTACAAACTTAACCATTTCCATACATTTCCCAACAAGAACAAGAGAAAAATTGGTATATTTTTCCACAAAAATAATGCGAGGTGAAGCCGGCTCGAAACTTTTAAGACTTGGGCCAAGAATTCTCATTTGAAAGGGCTTTATTCTGTCTTCATTGCTTAATTAAAAACATAAATATGAAAAAGGAATATAAACTGACCGCCATATGGGGCAGCAGCTTTATATTCCTGCCTCCACCAAAAACAAACACAAACACAAACACATACATATACATATACATATAAATGAGCATATACAAAGGAAAAATGCGAGCAACTCACTCATAAATTCACAAGCGCAGAGGCAATTTAATTAAAATTAATGTATTTACCACTCTTTCTCCCCAACCCACTTCACTCCCGCTGCCAATGCCACTCCATCCCCTTCTACCCACCATGCCGTTCCCAATCCCACTCCTGTTCCTGCTCCCGAAACCGAAACCTTTCTCTTCTCTATCATTCCATTTTTGCGGTTTCGCCTCACTCGATTTTGATGGCTGCTTATTTTTGGCTCGACTGCCATTCAGAAAAAAGGCCATGGTCAGCATGGAGGGACAGTTTCTGGTGCGACAAATTTATGACGATGAAATAACATACAATCTAATTGGAGCAGCTGTCGAGATACTCAGTAAGTAGTTAGCCGATACTGCTTTTGTTCATGATGGTCGTAACGATATTACCAAGCATATGCTTGTGTATGCCGTAGTTACGGCCAAGTGCCACTCACGTGCATACTTGTGGGCCATAAAGGACCAGCCTATTAATGTCTTTGCCTCTTATTTCTGCACAGATATACCCGCTGATGATATTCTGGAGCTGTTTGGCAAGACCTTCTTTGAGTTCTGTCAGGATTCGGGCTACGACAAAATCCTGCAAGTGCTTGGAGCCACACCGCGTGATTTCCTGCAGGTGCAGCATGACATACATGACTATAATCGTGGCTTTATAGCTGGCAATTTATTTAATTGAATCCCATTTTACACTCATTTCCCATGCATCTGCACCACAATTGCATTTTCCAATCGCCACTCAAGTCATTTTTCATCTCGCTCTCATGCTGCTCCCTTCGCATTCTCAGTCTCAGTCTCGGCAACGACATCAGCATCATTGATAAGCATTAACCATTTTGCTTGAGCGCACATATCACCCTGCCACACCACATCGACATCCAGCATCCAGCATACAGCATCCACCATTGACGCCTTTTGTTGCACTCACATTCGATTTATTTTCAATTTTCCACATTTTTCACCGCAAATGCTCTTCGAATCCATTGTCATAATGAAAAATGAAATTGAATTTTTTTGCCTGTCTTGCCGCCGCTGCCACCACCACAACAACCGCAAATTGTTCAGAATCTGGATGCCTTGCACGACCATCTCGGCACCCTGTACCCCGGCATGCGGGCTCCCTCCTTTCGATGCACAGAGAAGGACGGCGAGCTGCTGCTGCACTACTACTCGGAGAGGCCTGGCCTGGAGCACATAGTCATCGGCATAGTTAAGGTAAACGACTCCCAGGCCCCCCAGTGACACCACTGACACCGCCGCATATACACAAATATGTACCTCCCTTACAGGCCGTTGCATCGAAGCTCCATGGCGTCGAGGTGGAAATCGACATTGTAAAGCGCAAAGGAGAGCCCATCGACGAGGCCGAGAAGCTGCGCGCCCTCGCCCGCGAACAGCAGCAATTGGAGACGGACACGGCGACAGCCGCAGCCTCTGCCTCTGCCGCAGCGGTGGTTCTCGCTCCTTCTGCGGATGCTGAGCGAAACAATAATCACAATCCCAGCAGCAATAATGGCCTGGCCAACAACAGCAACGGTTGCAGTGCCAACGTTAACGTCAACAACAACAACGATGGCCAAGAGAATGCCAGCGAGACAGGTAAATGAGGGAGACCAAATGAAGTAAATTGGTGTTGGCGTTGACCATACTGAACGGTCCTCACTCGTCCCCTGTCTGTCTACACCCTGAAGCTGTTCTTATTATTCGTTCTTCTTTTAATCTCACGACCAGAACCCTCCATCGCACCACCCGGCGGCCCCATGCCACAAGACAGCTTCGATTGTGACGGCGACAAGGAGCAGAAGTGCCTGCGCCTCCTGAAGAACAAGAGCGACGACATCGAGCGCTACGACCATGTGCAATTCCTCATAAGGGAGATCAATGTGGCGGCCAAGTCGCAAGTTGATGCCAAGAAGGATGAGGTGCCCGATGACATGGAGTTTCTCTGCGAAGGTAGGACCCAGACGAGAAGAAGTTTTACTTAAGCTAATTGATCGGCTAATCCACAGCACCCCTCATATCGCCCGCCACATTCTGCAAGGTGTTCCCCTTCCATCTGATGTTCGATAGACAAATGAAAATCGTTCAAGCAGGCAAGGCTGTCTCTCGTGTAATACCCAGGTGAGTCCGCAGTTTCCGTTGTTAGTTATGAGCCATTGTTTCGATTAGGTACCCATTAGGGTAAGGGCCATTCAGCTAAGTGAGCCGCACTGATTTGCTCGCTTTTTCCTCTCCCCAAATCTCTCTTACCCCCTAGAGTGGCCGAGGAGAACTGCTCCCTGATAGAGGTGGTGGAGGCCATCCGGCCGCATCTGCAGCTCAACTTTGAGAACATTCTCTCCCACATAAACACCATCTATGTGCTGCAGACACGACAGGGGGCCATGAGCAGCCGGCACGAGCAGCGTTTTCTGAGACTGAAGGTGAGTGGACGTCTCCCACCAGGTGGGATTTCCAACAGATTTCCCCAAAACCCGAATCACCGATTAAGCGCACCCGCGTCCTGGCATTAAACGTAATGCCAGACCTGCCACAGAGTGCAGCATTAAAATCAATTTTACGACTATTTTCCCCCCACCAGCTTTATGTGTTATGCTCTTTCCACAGGGACAAATGATGTACATACCGGAAACGGATCGCATATTGTTCCAATGCTATCCGAGTGTCATGAATCTGGATGATCTAACTAAGTGAGTATCCTCCATGAGGGCAACAGATTTTGGCATTCCACCTTCAAGGCGGATGAGTATTTTCTTGGTTTATTTTCCTGTATTAGCCCACATTAAAGACATTAGCTCTTAAATGTCGCATTAGGGGCATGAATACCTTAAGCTTTTATTGAAACAAATGCGCCTTCAGCTAGCTAAATTTATAGGTGACATTAAAAATGCTTTCTCTGGCAGCCCCTCCGTCATTCCATTCCATTCCATTCCATGGCATGCCAGGTCTCTCTTTCCTCTAAATATTTTGCTGCCAAGAAAGAATTTAAAAAGACTTAAATAAAATAAAATGCGTGTCATTTTCCTTAGCCTTCGACCCTCCCTCGACCACAACCTTTGGTCCTTTGGTCTCTCTCTCTCTGTTTGTGTTTGTATATGGAATGTGTCTTTTATTTCCAGAAAGGGGCTATACATCTCGGATGTGCCGCTGCACGACGCGGCCAGGGATCTGGTGCTGCTCTCCGAGAAGTTCGAGGCGGAGTACAAGCTCACAAAGAACCTGGAAATGCTCACGGATAAGCTGCAGCAGACGTTCCGCGATCTGGAGAGTGAGAAGCAGAAGACCGACAGGTAAAGAAAAATGACAATGGAAACCCATTAGGGTGGGAGCCATTCTCTCAGGCGCGAAATTGAAATTACCTTTCCATTTTTCCACTTTTCCACATTTACCCACCCTGTCAGGCTGCTCTACTCGGTGCTGCCAAAGTCGGTGGCAAATGAGTTACGACACCAGCGTCCAGTGCCGCCCAAACGGTAAGTCAATGTCAATTCCCCCCCTCTTCCGATGGGGAAAAGGCAAGAAATTTGCTATTTGTGCCAATTTATTTATTGGGAATATTTTCATACTCTTTGCCTCTTCTCCTCTCCTCTCCTCTCCCCACACGCCAATCCACGACAGCTACGACTCCGTGACGCTGATGTTCTCGGGCATTGTGGGCTTTGGCCAATACTGTGCGGCCAACACGGATCCCGACGGGGCCATGAAAATCGTGAAAATGCTTAACGAGCTCTACACGGTTTTCGATGCCCTCACCGACTCCAAGCGTAACCTGAATGTGTATAAGGTAAGGGATGCTCGTTCGTATAGTATGTACCATGTGTCAGAGCTCAAATTAAAATCTCAAACTCTGGTCATCAGCTCTCATCGTTGGCCACTTAATTACATTTTTCGCCAGACCACCAAAGCCGATGCAATTTTTGGTTTCATTTTTGGGTCACCTGACCAATTTCCAAACGCAAAACACTGAGAGAAAAGTGTCCTAGTATGCACATGGGAAAATAATTTTATTTTGAGAAAATAGAGAAATTATGGCCAGAGGAGAAGAGAGAGTTTGCTCATGTAGAAAAACTATTGCCACCTTAAGAAAAGTCCCACGAACATAATGGAATTCAGTGTTGATTTCAGTGCAATACTCATTAGAATCTTTCTGTCCTTTCAGGTGGAAACTGTTGGCGATAAGTACATGGCAGTGTCCGGGCTGCCGGACCCCTGTGAGGATCATGCCAAGTGCATGGCACGCGTGGCCCTGGATATGATGGATATGGCCAAGAATGTGAAGATGGGCTCAAATCCAGTGGTGAGTTGACAGTTTAGTGAATAGTGTATCTCGTGGTGTTTCGTATCTTTCTATCTGTGGCACAACACTCTATAGAAAAGAGTGCATTCAGCAGCAACAACTTATGTTCAAGTTTCTCGAGTGCCTGTAGCGATTCATAGAGGGGTTCGTCCCTGTAATTGTTCGCATTGAAAGTAGTTGGGAAACTGTCCTGTGTTCTCTTGTGTTCTTTGGTGTGAGCAAACAACTGCAGCATTTTCGCACAATTTGTTGATGAATGCCCCCGTTCCCGTTCCGTGCAACACGAGCAAAAAGAGCGGCAACAACAACAGCTCAATGGCGCATAAATTTCAATGTCTGTCCCCATTCTGCCCCTCTGCCACTTCGCCATGCACCATTCCATAAGCATAAGGATTGAGTGGCAAGTGCACGTAAAATATTAACAACTTGGAGCAGGGACTGTTGCTGATGCTGGGGGCAGGAACGGGACAAGTGTGAAAAAAAAAGTTCATTTGCCACGCAATGTCCCGAACAAAGTTTCAGTAAAAAGTTTCGGGTGGTAAAACTGCGAAAATTGCTAAAATTAATTCAAAATTGATGACACACAATGTCAAAGGACACACGCATTCAAGTTGGGGTGGGGCATGCGACGTGCCCAGGGTCGTCTCACTCAGATCCACAGAGCCTCAGAGCCAGTTGCCACTTGACCGTCAACTGTCACCAGAGACGTTGAGATGAGGCTGTGGATGTGGCTGTTGCAGTGGCAGTGCTCCAGCTAATACCCTTTGCGAAGGATATTATCTTTGTAAGTAGATTTTTGTCAAGCGAAAACAGTAGTATGCTAAAAATAAGGCATTTGCGACCCTGGAAAGGTTTGTTTGCCTCTCTTGATATTTATTCTCGGTATGTAATTAATTTTCTTATTAAATAAATTATATTCGAATCGGATGATTACTATATGATGGTGTATGAAGCTTCTTCTATTCCCAAATCTACCCTTTCTTTTCCTTTTTTGGCTTAAACACTTTTGCTTTGAGTACTCGAGCTTAAAATACACTGCACACATGCGGGGAAAGACATGGTAAAGGCATAAAGAGACAGCGAAACAGAGAGGGAAAGAGCGACAGAGAGGCAGAGAGACATCCGAGGTTGAGGTTGAGGATAAGGATGGCATCCTTCACAATTACAGCATTGTACGTGTGGACAATGCTTGTGGCTTGTCAGTCACTTTTTGTCCATGTCTGCGGATGTGCACACATGCGAGGGTACTACATACATATATGTATGTAGAAATACGAGTGCGTGTCTCATAACTACATGCATATATATGTACATATCTACACATCCTCAAATGCTCTTCTTCTGTGCTGTGTTGTGTGGCTCTGGCTCTGGCCCCATGTCACTTGGCTTTATTGTCAATGCTGTTGTTGTTTTTCTGTGCTTCTGCGGCTAAAATTCCATTACCTTATCGTCTTGCCTGCTTTTCCTTGCGAAAACCATCCATCCATCTATTCATCCATCTCCTGTGCTCAGTCTACAGCTGTCCTTGCCGCAAACTGCAGTCAACTTTTTGTGGCTGTCAGTATTTCATATTTGACTGATTGCCTTTGGTAAAGTAGACGAAAGCGTGTCCACACAACCATTCCCCTGGCAACTCCCCCCTCTCACATTGCACGTTAGTATCTGAAATGTGCGCATTGCAACAAAAAAAATTCCAAAACGAAAAAGGGGAATACGAGAGCGTTTGGAACCGAATCCACACCGGTTTCGGTATCTCCTGCATCTATCGAGGCGACGGCAAACCGGCCAGCGTTTGATAGATCGCTTGAAATGCAATTAACAAACGCCCCGGGGGAGCAATCCGATAAAACTGGGCCACGACGACAACTACAGCGTGCCTGTTGCATGTTTCACGTTTGCCCTATCTATCCCTAGCACCCCCTGCTTCTTGCCACCGTTGGCGTCATTTTGCGCTTCATTAAATCCTGATAAAAGGCAGCATCCAGCCATCCGGTACCCCTGAGACCTTGCCACCCATTTATGAAGCCAATTATACCAATGTTTTTCTTCATGCAAAAACTTTGCTCAGCTTTGTACTCTCTGCCTTCTCTTTCGTTCTATGTCTCCCCTTTCTTTCCTCCATATCTCAGCACCACCTCCTCTTTCTTTCTTTCTCTGTCTTGGCTGTTTGCTTAGTGCCTTGTTGGCTACTTCCTGTGCTTGAAGTCCATAAATATTGATTTGGTTTTTCAGCAAAACTTTTTGCATTTACTATGTACTTTATATACTCTAGGGCCTGGCCGGGAAATTGATTTAGTTCACTCCATAAACTCTGCTCTCTACCTTCATCTTATTTTAGGGAATTTTTGAATCATCTAGACAACATACAAACAACATTTACCAACAACAACTAACAACAGAATCATAACTTTTAGGGAAACAATTTTTACACGTTTGCATCTTTCTAAAATATATTGTGAAGCCGCATTAAGATTATTTCCCACTCTCCCACGTGAAAAATAAGTTTCTATAGTAAAGATAATCCCCGTTCTGCATCATCAGCTTGGCACATTTATGTTGAAGTAATCTTTAAACGAGGTGAAAGAAAAAGTGAACGTACAAAACATGAGTATTATTATTCTGGGTATATTTGTGGCTTCAAAAGCATCTTCATGGAAACATATTCCATATGCTTTTCTGGGAAGCAGCTTAGAAGCACCTTCACGGGCCTTAATACTGCTCATATGTACATATGTATATCATACATACGACCTCACTGAGGGCATTCCCAATTCGTTTCAGCTCGAATAATGAGTTCGGGTTTTCCCCTTCATTATTTAATAAACCCAAAAACATGGTAGAAAAAGTGAAGCCAAAATGGTTGACTTTTGTTTCGAACTCCCTGCTGAATCATTCATCAGGATTGCACTCGCTGTCCAGGACCATATACCAGGACTGGACTGCCATTTCCTCTGATTGGATTTACTTTTGCGAGTACAAATGGATTCAACAAATATCTGTCTCTCTTTTCGTTTAGTGTTCGTTGTTCGACTTTCTGCATTTTCAGATTTATCTGTGGAGCTTTTTGTGTTCCCGTGGTCGACTCTTATCGGACGTTGCTGCTGCCTTGGCAATTAGTTTTATATAATGCTTTTCTGGTAATTACAACTTTCGTCCTTTGCTTTTATCTCTGGCTGCGTTGGCATTTTACCCATTTACACACATACATTTCTCCAGCTCAGCTTTGGGTTTCTCTGGTTCTCGCATCGTCACCTACTAACGAGGACCTTTGCTGGATATTTTTTGCTCTTTCCCTGCAGCCGCAGCTCATTTCGTTTTAAATTTAATTAAAGAAAACTTTTCCTTCTCTGCTGCAAGTTTTTGGAAAGTAATTGTGGCAACTTTTGGCTGGTTGTTCTTTCCCCTGCTACATTCCTTTGCGGTTGGCTGTCCGAAATGGAACTTTGGTCCTGGGTGTTGATGATGGCCTGGAACTTGCGTTCGTTCTTTGCCAACTATGAAGCGAACGAAAGTTTATTAGCGCAATGTAGTGCTGCTCTGGATACGGCTCTGTTTATTTTCTAGATAAATTCTTACAAATTCGAGTTATAAGTTCCCTTTTTTTATATTTTCTATCTCCTCAGCAAATTACCATCGGCATCCACTCAGGCGAAGTCGTGACAGGTGTGATTGGCAATCGAGTGCCGCGTTACTGTCTCTTCGGCAACACCGTGAACCTCACAAGCCGCACGGAGACCACAGGCGTGCCCGGCCGCATCAACGTCAGCGAGCACACCTACAGGTGAGTGTTCACTAGCTAAGCTCTGGGGCAGGGGCCCCGTCATCGTCCTGTTGGGGCATAAGTGGGAAATCGGGATCAGCATCGGGTCTGCAGGCTGCCACATAGGCTGCCACAGCCGCTTGCTTGGCCTCAGCAGTGACTGCCCCATCGCTGGTTGCCACAAACGCGGCTGCCGCGGCCTTTTCCGCATCCGTGACTGCCTCCAGCAGCTGAACACGGTTCTCGCTTTCGTCCTCGCTCTCGGTTATGCTGCTGATGGTGTCCATCCGCTGCATGCCACTTGCCAGTCGACTACCCGGCTTTGGCTTTGGCTGTTCTGGTGGCTCTGGCTGCCCCTCGACTCCCTCCAGCTCTTCCGTGAGGTCAATGTAGCGCTGCAATCGCATAGGCAGCCTCAAAGTGTCGATGCCGTTGGGCAGTTGATTATGCTCTCGGAGGACATCGCGAATGCAGCATCTACAGAGGAGGCAAAAGAGTTTTGGAAACGTCTAATTATTTTTATTATAGAGATGGAAAATGGAACAACATTCCGATTCCGATTCCATGGACAGTCAATCTGGAACAAATATTCCTCTTTTTATTATCTCTTAAGAATTAATCAATTTATCCCTCATACCACCTCTTGTCTCACATGACACGTAACACATGAGAAAATGTTTGGGAAATTGAAACTTCCAAATTGTTGACTAGCCTGAACATTCTTTGTGACTTCCGTCGGGCTATTGCTTTTGTTCCGTCAATCTCAGCGGGATATTTCATAAATTAATTTTAGTTTCACACAATAAACTCTCCAGCACATATGGGCGAGAGGTAGCGCAACAAAAAAAAACTGCACAACAAACAAAGTTCATGTGAAAGTTCAGTAGAAAAAATAGCCGAGCCAGGCAAAAACTTTCACTAAAGTTGGCCTTTTCAACTAGAGGAAGAAGTTAAAGCAGCGGATATTGGTGGCGGATTTTTCTCCGCTTGTCCCGGCTTGGTCCCGGCCTTCACGGACAATCAAGAGACTTTGAGGCACAGCGGAAGCTTTCAGAAAACTTAACTCTGCTCATGTGGAGCGGAGCCTGTGGAAGTGGAAGTGCGTGCTCGGAAGTGGCTTTGACGGCGCACGACCTGCTCCCCAGAAACTTGTCCAAAGTAAAAAGTCCTCCCCAAAATTGGCGTCATAAAATGCAGGGAAAGCTTAAGAACATGCTAATCGGCTGTGCACTGGGGGAAGGACTCAAGTTTATGTCCATGTTAATTTGTCTGTCGACTGTGGGGAATTTTTGTGTATGCTTTTTTATGGCCACCAACAAATTCGACCAATCAATAAAGCAAGCTGTCACCCGTCCCAGAGGAGCAGCCATAAAAAGTGGCACCAAAAAATGTCGCCTATTCGTATGCTCGATTTTGTGGCTAAGATGGCGTCGTCTACCATCGAGGTCAATGCATAATGAATGCATACGGAATGAGTGCTGCGAGATTTGCATAAATTGAAATCACAAATAGCAAACAAAATGCCAAAGAAACTGCCACAGACGATATAAATCAAATGCAAGTACGCGTGCTCCTGCCCCACACTTGCATGTGTACTTGAATCCACGACAAGTGGACGCCAACTCAATTACAAGTACAGTGGAGACTCCTGGCAGACGCAGGAAGTATGCTCTCTGATTACTAAGTTAATATTGCTTCTTTATAGGCTTCTCCACTGTAGCCACAATTTCGCCCGATATGCAGGACCAACTGAACCGAACGCGAGTTTCCGCAGTACTGCAAACATTGGCCAAAGAAAAACAAGCTGACAAACAACCGGAGAGCAAACGAATATAGTGTAAAAGGATGGAGAGGAAATGTATGAAGAGGAAAACGTATGTTGGGTAAAATGAACGGATAGCGCACTAACAGAAACCAGTACCAATGTCAATAGTTATTTCGTTTTTTCGTGCGACACGGCAAAAGGCAAATATATGGATATATGTATATGGCACGTTCTTCGTTCGGGGTCATCGAGTGCTCGGCAAATAGCCACATACGATGTTCCATTTGTACCGCATCAGTGCCAGACGTCAACTTATCAAATTAAAACAAACTCCGGCAAACTTCTCGACTAAATACCGATCAAAGTGGGCCAAGAAATTCGGTTCAATTTAATTCATTAAGTCCGTTGGGTGGTCCATAAGCAAGTGAAGCGTGCGACAAAGTTTTGACCCCCGCCCACTGACTTGTATACAGGACATAAAATAAAAGCAATCTTGCAATAAGCCACATGACAAAAGGCACCAGAACCAGGCCAAAGTCAGAGTCAGAAGACTTGGCAGCTGGCAGTTAGGGCTTAGGGGCAGGCCAAACGTTTGTCAAACTGCCAGTCAGTCGTCTGTCCTGCCCGCCTGTCTTATGCTTATTTCATTTTTCGGTCTTATCACAAAATTCTGTCTGCCCGTAGAAAGTTAAGCAAGCGTATCGAAAGAGCACAGCACAGCCCTAAGCCAAAGTAATTGAATAAAAATGTTTGGGAAGTCCGACTTCAGTCTATCGGAGCCAGTTTCCTATGCAGACTTCCCATTAGTCAACAGACGCTCGGGGACAGACAGCTCAAAGATCATAATTACCGACATAGATGACGCAGTGAGGGAACACCATACACCTGCTCCTTGCCAATGATTTTGTCGATTAACAGTCTCCCGTAACGCTCGAAGAACATCTCCCTACGTGAGGCATACAGCAGAGGCTGAAAATAAGGGCAGAGAAATCGAGATGTATCTGAGGAAACTCCGGCATTAAAGACAGATTATCGTACTCACCTTAAAGGGCATCTCAATCATGGCCACGTTTCGCAACAGTATCTTAAGGCACAGCACCAGTTCGTAGCTGTAATTGCGGCCATTCTCAATTAGTTTGTCGAGCAGCGCCAAAATTACCGAGGTACCACCATCCGGGGGATGCGGTGAGGCGCCGTATCTGCAATGGTGAAAGCGGTCAGTGGAAGTGGGAGTGGGTAACTGTTTGCAAATGAGATGACCGTGCAGGCTGCCAGCACGTACACGTAGTTGGTTAGCTTGCGGTGAATGCAGGTCCGAGGACAGAAGGTAATAAATGCTAGATGCCCCGATAAACACAATTTACAAATGAAATAATGAACAGACATGGCTCGCGGTTGTGTCACTTGCACACACAGAGAGACAGGGATAGGGAGAGAGAGAGAGAGAGAGAGGGAGAGTTATAACAGTGGTTGAAAGAGACAAAGGGTTGAATGTAGAATACCCTGAGTGAATCGCAAATGAAGTGCAAATTGTGGCATGTGTGTAGCTGCTGCCATTTACTGGCGGCGGTGTCACATTTTAAATTGAAAATGTTTGTCAAAAATGCTCATTTATTGCATTCATTTCACTGCCCGATAAGCATTGTAATTTATAGGCTCTCTCATTCATTCGGTCACGTCATATAAATATTGTCTTTTGGCAACCACAAGCCCACACGCCGTATGCGCAATTATGCACAAGTAAATCAGCCCTCAACCAAACGGGGGCCAGAGATATGGTGGAGGCTTGTGGCAGTGGCAAAAAATACATCTCACCGCATCCATTTGCATATTTTTATGGCCAATTTCAAATGAAAATGCAGCAAAGCGAGAAGCGAACGCAAATTAAAACATACAAAAGCGAAACAATATCGAGAATTTATGGCCGCATCAGCTTCACCAACAGAAGCAGCAGTTGCAAAAGCTGAATGAGAATCAGACAAGATGGAAATGATAGCTGCGCTAGCCGAAGGCTTGGATACCCTTCCAGATTCATCTATAATTTGATGCTCGGGTCTGAGCAATATACTTTAATGATGATGCTAAAAACACTCGCTTATATGTTAGCTTCTCTTAATAGCAAACATCTTAGCTGAATATTTACACCTCCTATAAGGGTATGATGAGGCAGAAAGGCGACGACGCAGAAACAGCAACAGAAACCAACAGACAATCCCCACTCTCACACAAATGGTTTTAAAGGAAAAGCAAAGGGTGCGGAATGAAAGGGATAAAACATGGAAAGCTGTGGCATGGGGAGTGGGACCATGGGGCATGCCCAGCGGGGAATTGGCAAGCCAAACTCAAACATTTTCCATCAATCGAAGGCATTGCAATTGCAATTTGCCTGGTGCAATCAACGCAGATGCCAGGAATCTCGATCTCATGCTGAATACGTACTCCTGCCTCATGGCACCCATTCCTACCCTTTCTTGGTAGAGGAAAATTGGTTTTTAATTTCGAAATTTTCCCAAGGAAAAATGAAAGAGCCCCGAACTGTAACAAAATGTAAGAGAATGTCAAAATAATGAAATAGCTAAACATTCCACTTCGTTATTCGGATGGAAAATTGATGTTGATTGTGATGCAAATTATTTGGAGTGCGTTGCCAAGAATTTCATTGGGGTAAGGACTAATTAATTAAACTAAGGATTCAGTTATAGTTCCCTGCGAACTTTACATGAATTTAATATTTAAAACCGCCTATTATCATCAATTTTAATATCTGAATACTCAACTTTTTTCTAGTCCATAGGTTTAGTGGTTCATATTTAATGATGGGTCAATAAATTCTTATAAATTCTGTTGCAAGTCCCAGCCAAATTTAGGAACACTGAATAGTTATTTTGATTGCACGCCAGAGAAATCTCATAATAAAATGTTAACATTTCCGACGAAATTATAGTCAAAAGAAGCCCTAAACCCACTGCGTCTGTTCATAGCTTGTTCTGTACCCTCTAGAGAGCATCAAAGAAAGCATCTCAGCCATGACTTGTAGACAGAAACTTTCAGTTGTTCTTGTTTTATTGGGACTCGTCTTGCGTCTCTTTTTCCTGGCCTGGAATCAATATTCGCGTTTCATGCAAAGCTCCTTTTTTGGCGCTTTATCAAAAATTGAAAAGCAAGCCAGGCAGTGCCAAGAATATTGTAGGAGGTGGAGGGGGGGAAGAAGAGAAGCAATGAGGCGTGGCCGTAGCGTCGGCCCATCTTGCAATATCAAGTTAAGAAACAATAAATTGCCAGGGCAGTGCCGACAAAGGGGGAGTATCCAGAGTCAAGGTCGGCTGCCGAAAAGTGCAGGCGTTTACATATAAATTTATGAATCTCTGGCCAGCTAAGGTCCGACTTTTGTTTCACCCTTGAGAGGGACTTTCAATGTAGATCCAATAGTTGCAATCTATAGAGAATGGTGCCTTCTGTTCTGTGGGAAAAGTATTTTTGATCAGTATCTAGTTGCCAAGTTTAAGACCCATCTGGCTGCAAGGTTATCTAAAAGTTCTGCACCCCAATTCTGGCCTTTCTTTCTTGTGGTTCTTGCTGCCTTTGAGTGCATAGTACTCGTAACTTTCAAGCTGCCTGGTGTCCTGCGACCATGAGACAGCATGGAGACGATGGCAGCGATGCCTTGTGATGCAAATTCGCTTTGGCAGCGACTTTCATATTTAATGATAATTTTCTTCTTTCTTTTTTATATTTTTTCCGGCTTTTTGGTACTTTTGTGTTTTTTCTATGCGCTGTCGTAGACCACTTGCTTATGCTAAGCATCTTGTAGTTTATGTTGCATACATTGCGACGCCCCCAAGTGGCGACCGCTTTGCATATTTCGCGCTAATTGAAGTGGCTGCCATTGGTACTGCCACTGGTAGTGCTCAGTAAAACGCACCAAGTCCTCGGAATATCTTACCTTAGGAGAATGAGCAGCAGTTCGGGAGCATTTGCCTGCAGGGCGATGCGCAGCGGAGAGGACCTTCCACAGGACTCAATGGGCACATCAATGAATCTGAAAGGGATCAAGCAAGAAGAAAGGGAGTGTAAGAGTGAGTAAATGTCAAGAAATGCTACTTTTGAGGCCAAACTTTGTGGCAGCTTTAACGGGCAACCCCGAAGCTGGATTTAACAGGCAGCTAACAGGCTAAATGGGCCACACACACAGGGAGAGCGACAGAGTGCCATGGCACAATTAAGCTGCTTGTTGCTCGCCTACTACTCATTCCTCATTCTATTCGATAAGCCAGAGTGAAACTTCCAGCCTTTAATATGAGTATACGCAATGTTGTTTTCCTTGAAGGCGTTTTTGTCTCCATTCTGTCATAAGCTTGAACACTGCACTTAAAGGACATTTTGCGACACAATACACACACCCATACCCACACACACCCCATACTCATATGCTTTTATGTGTAGGCATAAAAGTAGGCAAATAAAAGACCAGAAACCACAATAAACCGGAAGTAGCATCCACACTCTCACACACCCACATGCATAGAGAGAGAAAGGTGCCTGTCTTACACCTACGCTGCAAATCCTTCTTCTCGAAGCCTGCAAATTGCCCTGGAAATTCATTTGCGTTTTATTGACAGCGATAAAAGCGAAAGCGAGCAACGAGCCAAATATCAAGACATTTGCAAGCGACGAAGTAAAACCTTTTCCAGCTAAGAGCTCTTCACTGGGAACTGATTTGCAACGCAAATCAAACATTTACCATTTAATCGGCTGATGAGCGGAGTGACAAATCAAATTTGTGTCAGCTGTTGATGTGCTTCTTACCACTAAGACCTCTTGGCCTGAGCTCCCCTGTCTCTTCATCTACAGTGAGTACTTTTAACTTTATACCTAAGGATTTTGGAAAGTGCTCGTATGAATTGTGGTTTTACCGAGTTAAAAGTTGGCTTAGCATATCAAAATGGCAGTCATAACTAAGGCCAGGTGACAATGGCTGGTTTTTCTATAACACATTGTATGTGAGATAGAATAAATTTCGAGTACAAATTGCAAGAACTCTAGACCAGGACTTTTAAAATTTAACGTAAATGCTGTATAAATTGGATAGGTTTACAGTACTTTCCATTTGTACTAGTGAAAACTTCCAGCAAAAATGTATGCAAAATTCACTCAAAAATAAACCTGTAGAAGTCATGCGATTTTTGGATATATTTAAGCACTTTACTTTATTTATGTTTTGATGCCCTTGTGGAATCTGTATTCACTTTTGTTGGTATGTTCTCTCCACTGTACAACTTTTTCCAATATGCTATTTGTGCTCAGATTTATGCAACTTTAATGGCATTTGGCGAAAACATTTATTGTAGCACTGCTTGGCGTACTGCTTGCTTTTCGCAGCAGCATCAGCAACAGCTATGCTCACATCCTGTCCAACCTCTGGCACACGAAAAACACACACAGAAGCAGATTCTATGCACACACACATACACACATACACAGCTATTAACGCTTATTCATGGCTCTGGCTGGTGTTGCGAGAGGGCATCATAAATGTCGTCTTAATGTTTGCCAGTCAGTCAGCTTTCTCTGTTTTTCTGTCTTCTGTTTGTTTAAGAAGCGCTCCCACACACAAAGAGACATATGTGTGTGTGTGTATAGATTGGGGGGCGTGGCAAGTGAGAGTGAGAGAGCTTTGTGCGCTTATTACACGCATTTTTGACTTTAATCCTCGGGAGTGCTGCGAAACAAAGCCGAAATAACAAAAGGTTTACATTGCTGCCTGTTGGTTTCCAGCTTATCGCATCAGAGACACCCTCACATACATATGTGCATAAATCTTCGCTGAGCAGAAGGGGCAGAAGTGCAGAGAATCGAAACGAGTAAAACCCCAACGCTCTGGAAGTGAAAATCTTAATTATACATGACACAGGCAGCCGCTGCAGCGGCCCGAGAAGCCAGCGCCAGTGATTGAGAGTCGCTGCGGCCATTGTCTGAATGAATCTCTGTATGCGAGTGTGAGAATGGGTGTGGGTACTTGCGTGGGTGCGGGTGCGAAAGTGTGTAAAATGTCACCATCTTTCACTCAATTATGGCAGACACACACAAACACCCGTATGGAGAGCCACAACAATGGCGGATGTATTAATTTAATTAAAATCCTTTCATTTCTCTGGTCTCTTTTTCACTCTCGCTACTCTTTCCTTAGTTTCCCCAGGGATATTAATAGGCTTGTTGTTTCACTTCTTATTGTATGCGAAATACAATTATAATTATGAAGAGCACAAATTCACTTACAATTACAGTTGGGACCCAAAATGTCCATCACTGTCAGAATATGGGATACCCTTCTACTCAGACATACGTGACATAGAGACCAACTAGAAGGTCCCTACAGCCCCGAAATACACAACAACTGGCTTTACAATATATTTTCTGTGGTAGAGACCGCCTTTTTCGCTCCGTTACAGATACTAAAACGAAAACATTGTACCCTGATGCCCTTCTGCAGCCAGAAGAGTCTGCTTACCCTTTACAAAACGAACCAATTAACGAAACTAGTGCTGGGGATTGCTGGAGGCAGCAACATCCTGCTTGTGCCACCGGGATTACCAGGACAGGACAATCTGGGTACAAAGTCAGAGGGAACAGATGGCAAGCACTCACCTGAGCTGTCGCTCCTCCTCGAAACGGGGTATCCAGACGGGCAACGTGAGCTTCTCGCGTGTGGCATGCTTCAGAAAGTAAACCACGGCCCGGACATTTTCATGCTGCGAATACATGAGGCTTGCATGAGTGTCTTTCCTATGCTGAGGGGGCTGCTAATACTCACCTGATCCTGAAAGTCGCTGCGCCAACCAGCGATAAAGTGTGGAGCATGTGGCCCAAACAAGGCGCCCAGGAATATCCGCTCAAAAGTCTTCTCACACTCATAAATGGCCACTTCGTTGCGGGGAGTTTTGGAGTTGGTAAAACGGAGCAAGGATAAAAGCGAAAGGCGAAAGAAGAGTGACGGTTAAATAATGTCATCAAATCGCAGCGGCCATGGAAATGCGGTCGTAAAAAAGCTAATTACGTGGCTGCACTTGTTGCTGCTTGGCTGAGTTTTTGGCTTTTGGTTTCTCTGGCGTCTCTCTTCCTTTTTGGCAACAAAATGAAGTCAGCGGGAAACGGAAGAAGCCAGAAATGTGGCTGGTAAAAGGAGGGCCCGAAAACACGTCAGAGCTCGAATGTTAGGCAAGAGCAAACAAGTGTGGGACAGCACAAACAAGGCAGACATTTTATTGCATACAAGGCCGGGACAGGGGCAGGCCTAGTCCTTGTCCATGGTCTCAGTGGTTGGTTGTCCTGTTCCCTTGACGGAGGAATGCCATTAATTTCTGGCACTTTCCCTCGCTCGCAAAACTTTACGCAGCATTTTAATTAGAGCCCAGGCGCACGCATAGACACGCCCCAAATAACTTGCAACACTTTAAGGCACTTTACAAGTTTTACGATGCAACAACAGCACCAACAATAATGAGGGGCAACATCAGAAAAAACAACAAAATAACATTAGCAACACTTTCTTAACGCAATTAGAAAATACACGTGATTAAAGTGAAAACTGCCTGCCATCCAGCCAGCAAGCCTGCTTATGAGCGTAATAATCTGATGCGATGGGATAAAATTCATTAAAATATGCAAAGCCCCACATCCAAGCCCCAAACTACCCACACTCCCCACTCACGTAGGGAGAGAGAAAGAAAGTTCCATTGCATACATATGCATATAAATTAAATTATTTAGTTGGGGCTGCCGCTGCCGCTGTCGCTTTTAGCTTTGCTTTCTCGTTGGAGCTTCCTTCTGGCTTTGACTTACCCAAGAGTTGGACGACCACCTCGGAGTCGCGCACTCCCCAGTCCCAGCAGGTGCGCAGGGCGATGTACAGGATGTTGTGATACTTGCCCATGAGGCATACCTGCGGGAGTTTCACAGATGAGAAATGAGAAGGAGGGCAACTTATGCTCCAGAATGTCAAACACATTCAAGAGTAATTGCACTGCATGCCATGTGCGTGCTTGATACTTTATGCAAATACTATTAAAAAACGCTAAAATTCAGAAATTGTTTTTGTATGCAGCTCACCCGACCCCCATTATCCTCCTTGGCCAGCCGATGATATCGCATGGCCGCCACTACGGCTATGCCGGCCACCTCATCCGTCTGCGTATTTTGGCCCTCGCTGCAGCCTTTAATAATTGAACTGAGATGGTCGAGCACATTCCGGCGCGACTGGCGATCCTGCAGCCCATTGCGGGTAATCTGATCGAATGTGTCCTCGAAGAAGCACTCAAAGATGTAGTCCATAACCAGTTGGCGACGCGTAGCCCTCGGATTGCACTGGTAGCTGGCCCGTTCGCGTGCCCTTGTCCGTTCCGGGTCTATGAGAAATGACCGCCGGAAGCCGTAGAAGCGTTGCGGCAATGGAAACCAGTGGCGAATCCACACAAATTGACGTTTTAATTGACTTACAAGCCGCTGAAATGCATCGAACAACTGCAAAAACATGTCACAAACAATAAACACAAAAAAAACTTAATAATTCGTTTACAAAAAACTATTTCCCATAAACAGTTTAAATTTCGTTAAAATTCCGTTAGAAAAAAACCGTTCCCGAATAGAAGAAACGACAGAGAGAGATACAGTGCATGTTTGAGTGAAGGTAAAGCAGAGAGAGGAAGCAGAGCTATGACGAGAGCTGTACTCCCTTACCTTTCGTTTAAATATAGCCTGTGTCCAGCTGTTTGGGGTGGCATTCTCTCTACCTACTCTCTCTCTCTCTCTCTCTCTCACTCTCTCTTGATATTGATTTTTTCGTGCTGGCAATGATGTGCGCCAAGAACAACAAAGCACGAAAACATTGAAAATATAAACAAATGAATGCTGAACGGAGCCCTAGAAATCCAGCCCGTGGAGTGTATATCAGAACGCGATTCTTTGGTGATGGTTTTTCAATGGAATTAACTGAAAAGTATTCTCTGTTATCATGTGTGTGCGGTGCTTGCAAACAGGTGTCTGATTCCAGGCCGCCAAGTGTATTTATGTGGCCACTTTTAATCTCTGAGTGCTGCTCTCTGATTAAATTGAAATGGAGTCGATGGGTTATCCAAAATTATATACAGCAATTGAGCAATTTTTTAGCCTCATTCCCACAAGCAAAAAAACATTTTTCTACAGCTCAAAACTCACATGGAAATTTCACTTCCCGAAAACTGCCGGCAAGAACGGTAGATAGAATTCGAATGGAGCACTCAGCTGTTTTTTTCCTACTCGCTCTGACTCTGGGCCCGCACTCTTCTCTTTGTTTGAACAACAATGCTCTCGGGGAGGGAAGAGAGAATGTTGCGGGTGCTTAGGGGTTTAGCAGAGAGGCCTTTTAAATGCCGTTCAGTAACATGAAAGAGAATTCAAATTCAGTTAAAATAAAGTTAATACAAAATAAAAAAAAACAACCGGATAATAGACTTTTTCTATAACATAATAATTGGAGGTATATAATATAATATTGGAGGTTGCAACTTACCGCTTCTTTAATGCGTAATTCGTTAACTCTATGACTTTTCAATATCTCTATTTAAAATAATAATATTCCTCCAAGGCTATGAATATTTATTTTCAACATTTTAAATGACCATTTGATAAAACTTAAGTCCTTAACAATTGGTTTTTATTGGTTTAATGAATACCAAAGTGTCACTGGACAAAAACCGGCCATGAACATGGACCATAACATTTATGGAAAACAGTTGATTTTCTATTATTTTTTCAGTGTTATCCAAATGAAATGGTATTCATGCGAATATATTGAATTTTTCAAAACACAATCATCATGCAATGTTTACTTGGAGCATTGTTTGCTTTGTAAAACGAATATTATATTCCATATTTTTCTTAAGCGTTCGCTGCAGCGACATATCAATTTCCACATAAATTATTCATTTTCTGCTTCTGCGGTATTCGTGGCACTGTTTGCACGATTAATATTTGGACAGACAATTAAGCGCTGAGTAAATATTTAAGCACAGCCATAAACATTAATTAAGAACATACACACGCACCCCGAGAAGGGAGAGCATACCCAGATATGATGTTGGTATAATAATGTCTGACTAAAGGTTTCGGCTGCTTCGCCTTAATCGCACATGCAAATAAATATGAGGACAATTCAGGAGTCCCGGACTCTACAGGCTTCATAATTAACTGCACTTCATTATCCATGTGGATATTCTTCCTCCTTAAACATACATGTACGAGTGAGTATACATATATCTACATACACTCGTTAATTCGAAGGCACACACCTGAACTGCACCGAAAAACGAGGCAGAGCTCAATGGTAATTAAAAAGGCGGTCACCGTATTGTGGCCATATGCATGCCATCCAATGTGGCAAATGTTGCAAATAAATTGAATTAAATGCGTATGCAATCAAAAGGGTCCTCGTATCCGATGTAAATAAATGCACATTTTCGCATGTGCATTGTACGTACACACTCGAGTATCTGTCTATATACACATGGAGACACACATGCAGCAACAGTGAATGCGGGCACTCGAGGCGGAAACGGATATGCGTCCGAGGTGAAAGCCCGGAGACATTTTTATGCACGGTAAACATAATAACCGAGGTTATATGGGCATATAGGCACATAGACCAAAAAACGCTTGTAACCTTTTAAGTTATGTTATTTATACATTTGTATACCTAGATTTCTGGTTAATGGGTACTCCAAAGTCTTAACATTGCAGACCCACTCTGTATTTGTTATTCTGTTTTCGTTTTCACCAAAATTTCATGGGCGTTTACATACGTGTTTGTGCGGGTTCGTAGCGGATATACCACGAGTATGTACAAATGTCCATGTGTCATAGTGAATAGAGCACAATAAACGAATTTACATAATTCCATGAGATGCAATCCAATAAAAAGTTGAACAGCAGCGACTGTCGCAGGAGAAATTATGGCAGCAATTTATTGAGCTAGATGCACGGACTGACTCCGAGGACATTCATCTGTCCAATGCATCATCCGCAGTGCATTATATCCTCTTCAGGCATGCCTCCTTCACATAACTCAAAGCTCTTTCTTTATGTCGACAGAGTCTTTTCCCATAGCCACCTCTAACATGGGAGTCATTCGTTTTATTTCCGTACCTCCGACAAGAAACATTCCTTTATTTCCGTTCCTTCAGCAGGAGACATTCCTTTTATTTCCGTTCCTTCAACACGAGGCTCATTCGTTCCTTTTGCGTTCTTTCTCATTGCAGACTGCTGTGCCAGACGATCAACCAAGATGATTCATTTCATTTGGAGTACCGTGGTCCGGTTATTATGAAGGGCAAGCCCACGCCCATGGACTGCTGGTTCCTGACGCGTGCCACTAGCAGCCTGGGAGCGAGTGGTAGCGGCGCCACAGCCGGCGGCAATGGCAGCCTGGATTCGCCGCTCCTCCAGCCCACCACGCCGACGGGCGCGCCGGGAGCGCCGGGTGCAAGCAGTCAAAGATTGGGCGCCCATACCAGTATCTCACGTACCTCGTCGGCTGGGCCCGGTGGGGCAGCCAGTGCGTCGCCGTTGGACACATAGGAAATGTGCAAGGATTCGTCTTGCTGCTGCTGAAACATCCTGTAAAGTTGCCCCAGCAAAAGCTACGTGTCTGTGTGTCAGTCTCGTCCGTCTGCCTGTCTGTCCGCCTGTCTGGTCCCCCAAGTCGACCACTTAACCACTTCATTTCTGTATTTGTCCTGCCTGCATCTATGTGGCCTGCATGTTCATCTATGCCTAAGTATATCCGTGTGTGTGACTGTTGCTGGTGGCACGTTGCGGTTGGAGTCAGAGACGTCGGATCGTGGTGCAAGGTAATTTATGTTAATGCTCTCATCCACCCTGCTTCATTCAGGCCAACACAACCCAACCCAACCCGACCACTTAGCCAAGTCACTTTACAAATGATTTACATTTCTTCAGCTGCCGCACGGCATACGTACTCCGTGTACGTACTCGTAATTCATGCCACATTATCTGGCTATTTGCCTCGGATCCATTGGCATTAGTTGTAACCATGGCTCAGGCCTTATCTCGGCAGCAGTTCAAAACAAATTTTAATGTCAGCCATAAAGAGGAACGCTGGGAGAGACGATGGCACCATGCGACATGTTCTCTGCCCTGTTCGGCCAATCCTTTCGGCTCAATGGCATGCTCCCACACTACGCCGCCTGTTGGCCATAAACTAGATAAGTCCAAAACAACTCAATATAAAAGCCATAATATGCCGAACAGTTAAATACATCTCTCCACGAGTCGGCTCGGCAGTGACTGCTGCCAGCTCTGGCAAAAGATTTTGTCAACGGAAAGCTTGCGGCGGCCCTGCCCCGCACCCATCCCTTGACTCATTCATAGTCTGTTTGCCGGCAGTTATTTTGTGTGTGTGTGTGTGTTTGGCAAGTAAAAAGTTCTCTTCTAGCCAAAAGACCGCATGCCATAGAAAAGATACAAGGGAATTTAACACATATTTTGAAAACAAATATTTAAGATGAGCAAACAGGAGGAGCATCGAAAGGAACCGTCTACTGGGGAGGCGCTATGCAGTTCCAAGAAAAGACGGAAAAAGTACTGCCTTCAATGAACCGTTTCTCTACTTAACCTGTGACAATAGTGTACTCACATAATTAATTGACATCGCACAGTCACAGAGCGCCAAAGGCAAACAATTTAGTTTCCAGAAAAACAAAACTAGTGTCAAAATTATTATTTTTTTTAGCAGTGTTAACAGGGCTGCCTTAGACCAGTAAAATTTTAAGTTAATAAGTAGGACCCTGTTGACTTTAGTGTTGGGTAGTAAGTGTCAACAACAAGCAACGGAATTTCTTGTAACTCGCTGTCTGGAGCAGTTCCATCGCCCAAATCGATTTATTCCCATCCCCTTTGCAGCTGTACAAACAACGATCGAGTTCAATTTTGTATTGTAATCCCGCCTCAAATTGATTTGTTAGCGGCAGCATTTAGAGGAAAGCTGCCTGCTGCTGTGCAATTGCAACTGCTGCGAGGCATGCCGTGCGGCATGCGATGCTATGCAAATGAATGCCATCCAAGTTGTCTGCTTCCCTAGGACCTGTCTGCATCTGCTAGAGGATGTCAGGGATGTTGGGCCAAAGTCGGTTAATGTTGTTGCCAAGCAGTGCGTTTTGTGGCTGAAGCGCAATCTGCAGTTGAATGTCGATTTTCTGCTTGTTTGTCTGCGTTCCAACTTTAATTGAAATTAGTGAGGAGTTTTCGATTAGGCCACGCCTCGAATGTTGGCCAGACAAATGTTTACTTGTGCCTGACGATTCCCATCCCAGAACCACTCCCAGTCCTTCCTTGGTGATGGTAAATTACCCAACACATGCAATTGCTTGGGGGCCCTACATACATCCTTTATTAATAAGGCCCCAGCCAGGACAATAAAACTTGTGTACCTCTCTGGCCCGGAACAACCGACAGATGAGAGTAATCTAGATAGAAAAACTTTTATTTCGGGTCTCCGAAAAACTAAACATACCAAAAAGTTGACTCCAACCACATACACGTGGCTGCCATTTGCTTTTGTGGGTCACAGAGAAGGTTGGCAGATAATTCAATGAAAGCTGGAGAGAGTTCCTTGTGCCAACATGTGAGTAATTTCCATTGAAATAGAGCAGGCTCCCTCTGATAGACTTCAACTCTTTTGGGGTGCCTCTGCCTCGTTTTTCCCTCTGCTCTCATTATCGCATTGTGCCAGTGTCATCAGCATTATTACTTCATAATTATTACTAACTCGGAACTTCCTTGGCTTGGGATCTATCTCTCTCTGGGTTTTGCTGCTCCCGAGCATCCGTCACAACAGAGACAGGATGGGAGGTGAAGAAGTATCAGCAGGGAGCCTATGGAAGCCGTTGCCTCTGACATTTTGTCGTCGGCTCATCGCAATCATAATTTCCATCTTTATGAATTTGTAATGAGAGAGAGAGGTCTATCCCTCTCTGCAGCTGACAAAGTTTGCACGCCTGTCACTGGCAATATCAACTAAATTTTTAATAAGATGCCTGGCCTTGAATGCCACGCCCAATTGTCGCATAAGAGCTTATGCTGTATTTAGTTGAGTAAATATTTATTTGATTGGGTTTTTTTCTGGGGTCGGACTGCCGGCTTACCAAATCCGGATTTGCGTATTTGGCGCACAGGAAACGGAAATTGTGCGAGGTCGATGGAGCCGGCATTGATGTAAGGAAAATATAAAGAAAAATCGCCCTTTGTTGTGGGGTAATAAATATGTATCTGCCTCATGTATGATGAATTACTGCGCCCTACTCTTCGAGTAATGCAAGTGAAGGATCCACATGCAACTTGAACTGTAGTTGAGGCAGCCACTAATTAAATTTAATTAGAGTTCAGCTGCAGGCTGTAGATAAACACGTAATTGGAAAACCAATTCGCATTTATAAGGGAACACAATTCAACTTCGTCTCTGGTAGCTCTTTAACGTGCGAAACCAGCAACCCCAATAGAACCCAAGAGAAAAGCAGCAACCGAATCTCCCCTCCAACTTCCTGTACAAATGGGCCGGATGTAAAGAATAAATAAGACCAAATAGAAAAAAATGAAGGAAAATTATGAGTAACGAAAAAGAAACGAGAAAAAACCCAAAGCAGGATTACATTACGGAATGCTGGCCAGTTGAAAGGAAACGAAAGAAAACTAATTTTATGGGTACCAAACTCTGTGCTTTTTAAACTTTGAAAATTTGATACATTAATAGAGATTTATTAAAAGAAAATTTGAATGTATTTGCGGGTAGAACTTAAATTAGGCAAGTTACAGTTCCAGTGTTCTCCTGCCATAAGAACTAATCAATGTTAATCCATTTCTAACGAGCCATCGTTAGGACCCCAACACATACACACATACTAGCACTCGTACCCGTATTCTCACTCGTACAAGAGGTCCGCCCACACTCGCCTCCTGTTGAATGGCATCATCAAAATTCCAGCCGACGACTTCCCAGTCATCAAGTTGCATGCCAACTGGCTGTTGTTGCCGACATTTGACGATAATGTGTGCGATACCCCATATCAGAGTAGATAGATACCCATTCAATGGCAATATATGTCAGTACTTAAAATGCCGAGCAAACCGAATGGATTTTGTATTAGCATCCCCATTTACTGATGTAAAAAATATGTATAAATAATGAGTTTGTTTTCATTACGACATGAATGTTGGTATATTAGGCAATGCTTTGATTAAAAATAACTGCGAAGATATGCTGAATCACAGCTGTAAAAGTTCGTGACTCTAAAGCCAAACTTGAAACTCTTATCTCTCTGATTTTTTAACTTTTTCAACAACTTTAAGGCCTTAGAGACTATATTTTCCCATAGGACTCTCACAGTTCTCCCATATTTGTTGCACACTTCAATTGAAATACGAGCGTACTCGCTGTTCGCAGTTTTCACATGGGGAAAAATGTGAGGCAAATCGAGTGTGTGACCGGAAAGTTTATGCGTTTTTGCAATGGAATGCAATTTGCGCGAAAAAATGGTGAAAACAAAGCTATCGTCGATACGCCTGCAACATCAGTATCGGTAGCTTTCCGTTTCCCGTTTCCCATTTCCAGCAATATTTTCAGTTTTTCTTGCGCTCTCATGGCCATTGCTTTCTTTTTCATTCCGCTCGACAAAAGGCGTAAACTTTTGCAAACACAATCCCTGACACAAGTCCCCTCTCCCGACCAACACTCTGCTCACCTTTGTGCATTTGATTTGTGGGGGGTCCATAAAGTTCGGGGCAGTCCTCCGATGCGAAATTTACAATTTTAATTCAATTTGTTGAAAATGTATCTCCACTCGTACATGTGCTTGGAAGTGGCTGGCGGAGGGTAGTGGGGAGATGACCCCCAAAGAAACACTTTCTGCTATTTTTGCACATTAAACTAATCGATATTTTATGGGCAAGCCATGACAAGGCGGGTCCAGAGGACAACCGAGCATTAGATGCAAGTACATTTTAGCCATTTTGTCGTCGTAGTCGATTCAATGACAGCTCGGCCGAAGGACATCCAAGGACTACTGCTGTGGGTACAGTAACCGGGTAGAACATCCACAGCAGCATGTTGTTGTTTAATTGTCTGTAAAATTGTTAAATTGCTTAGCGTGTCGACAGGGCAGAGGCAGGGCTAGGGGCCGATCCTGGAGATGCTGCTGTTGTCAGCGGCTTTGGGGTTAACATGCATGTGCAATTACCATACTCTGCACATCCTGCATTCGTTACCTCTACCTTACCCACTTTCCCTTACTTCCAAATGATTCATTTATTCATCCCCTGCTTGCATTTTACGCAAATTGAAAATCGAACCTTGCCAAACCGCAAAGGAAACTGAAACTGTAACCGAAACTTACAACGACATTGAGACCATAAAAATTGTTCCACTAATGCTATAAATAATCGTTTTCTGGCAGACCTTAAAACTAGTTTTACCGAAAAAAAACAAACACAAAAAACAGCGAGAATGTCGGCAGGGAATTGCTTACGTGATTGAAATTTTGAAAATTTCCCAACAAAGGCCGTTCCAGCATCCAGCACCGGTGTCAGGGTCTATCTCATACGTTGGCCAGTTTTTGGCAATCAAAAGTTGTTTGCGCCTTTGTAGTTTTTACTGTTTTGTGGCTTTTATACGGACCGTCATCCACCCATCCGCAAACGCAGTTGGCATAACAAACAAGAGCCCAACGAGAACTTTCCGTTCTCTTCGTTTCGCTTCTATTCTGCTCTCTTCCCTTTCCACATGGCCAAAGCCCAACTTTTGACATTGACACTGTTACTGGCTCTGGCTACGGGTCTGGTCGGGGTCCCGACTACATCACCGCACCAGCTACGAGCCCGGCTTTGCGACGTAATTGGGCGTGAAGGGTTAAATTGAATTGCGTGCTCACGGGAGCCAAACGGTTAAACAAACAAACATGGCTCTGATTTCTGCCTTGGCATCGCATTCATTGGGGAGAGGGGCAGTGCGTGACCGACATAAGAGTCTGTGTATTTCCATTTTAGTTTTTAGTTTCCGTTAAATCCAAATCTCTAAATTGTTTTCTCGTTTCAGGTAGAGATAATGGTCCTGTAAAAATGTTAAAACTATCTCCGTGTCTGTACGTGTGTGATCCTTGTAGATGTTTAAAAAACGATATTTGTTAACATGTATTTATTATGATTCTACTTTTGTGATGGTTTCTTAGGCTGAACTTTTTTGTGTGTAAAGATAAAATACAATACTCCTAATTGAACTGTACACAAATCTGAGAGCGAAAACCCATGTAAGGCGGAATATTCTAACTAAAACCACTCTCAACTTTTGGGACAACCCTAATTAAGCCGTAAACGTAAATTAGCATAACCACAAGGCACCAAACAAAAAACCAAACAATATGATATATAATATACAAAGATATGTACTAGAAATAGATGTCTGTATTTTTGGGCTCGTCAACTTTCTATACAGGGCTACCGACCAGCAAAATGTTAGCAAAACTAAACTCAAACTGCACCAAGACAAAAGTAAAAGTAAAAAGTCTATACAAAATTGTACAACAAACCAGAAAAACAGAAACCAAAGCAAATATTTATACGTTCCATCAAGAAAGTATTTACGAGTATATACTTACATAGGTTAAGCAGTCCTAACTCCAGAAGTTCGTTTAAGTTTCCATTGATCTATCGGTAATGTTATGAAGATGACAAGTCTCCACTTTACTATAACTGAAAAATAGCTTTATAGTCTTAAGCCATCACACCGGAAGACTTCCCCTGTCTCTCTCTCTCTGTCTCTATGTCTAAAATCATTGACTAATTAAGGGGAATCTGTTAATAACCATATATAGTACATATATATGCATCTAGATATATTATACATAGCAATATGAATGTGCACAAATACTACGATATCCAACTGTTCAGCCGAATGTTTGTTTTTCTAAGCTAAAGTTTCTGTAGGGAGCGATAAATCATTGATTGTAGGATTTGTTTTTTTTTGGGTGGGTGTGGCATAGTTACATTTAAGTTAATTACTGTACAAAAGGCTAAGAAGTGTTAAGTGCTAAAACTAACTACAGTCCTCACCCCCTTTCTCTCTGCTTACCCCCCCCCCCCCCTCCTCCTCTCTGCCTCTCTCTATGTCTTCATCTAAAGTAAATGTTAAATATTTAAAAAAATAATAATATATGTAACTGAAATAAATAAAAATATCTCATTGAACCCTGAAATATTGAATGGACTAACCTTGGCCCTATTGCTCTATTCAGCTTCCCACCAATACCCAAAACATAAATTCTGTTTTATTATTTTCTGATTTTTTTTGTATTTTCTTTTTATATTTTTATGTGATTAATAAATATCGTTTTGATGCATGTCTTTTTTTTTTTAAATGAAATTCTGTAATTACATTTGAGGGGTGTAGAAAGATTTTGTTGATGTGTGATTCCTTATTCTGCCCACGATCGCACGTACTCGGAAGCTCATCAATGTGCTAATCAAATTACATGTTGTTTCGCTTGTTGCCACTTTGGTGTTGGGAGCAGGGCCTGTCGAGCCTCGGCCTCCTCTTGAGCAATTTTCTCGCGTATCCAATAATTCGCACCGCAAACCAGGAGCAGCAAGGTGGGGATGAGAATGAGCAGCATCATGCCCAACGAAATGCTTGCCACACGTGCCGATTGCTCCTCGTGGCCTGGAAAAGGTGTGTGTGCAATGGTGAATAGACAAAGGTTCGCCCAGAATAAATGTTGCTTTGGAGTGGGCCTCGAGTGACGTAATTCATAAATTAAACAAGCATCCACCCAATCTTCTCTACATCGTTAGTTGGCTACTTTAGAGCTGGGCCTTGAGCTGGGGCTCAGCTCAGCTCTCCTCTTCTATTGTGTTCTACCTTTCCATATATACTGTGTTTCATCACAGACAAACACTGCATTCTCGGTACAAGCAGGAAGACATATACACACCAACGGACAGACAACTTGTCCATCAATTTGCTCAAGATTGATTGACATTGGCGTAATGCACACAATACATTTACTAGTCTCCTGCTGCCTGGAGGTTGGAAGCGTAGGTGGAGTGTCTGGGCGTGGCACCAATGCCAGAAGAAACAGCAGCAACAGCAAAAAAAAAAACAAAACTCAAATGACAGTTGGTTGAAGATTAATGTCTTTGGCTTTGGCCTTATTGCTTCGTTATAAATTTCATGTAATTTTCGTTTGCATTGCCATTGCACTGAAGGATATATGTACACTGGACAACACAGTGAAAGATTTGCTTCGATTTAGATAAAAAACGAAGCAAGCGATGGCTTTGATATCGGACATGTTCAAACCGAAGAAGTGTCAAGCTTTCTTTCTGAGGAGTAGATATCAAGTGTCTCCACTTTCTTCTTAAAATGTTATTTGTTTTCCTGGCCTTGTGTCAAATTATTGCAGAAAATTGACAGACAGTTGGCTAGGACCGGAATTCAATTTAACAGGCAAACAAAGCGAAACCTTGCAACGTGTCAACTTTCATGTAACAATTGGCATTATCCGCTTAACCCTGCAAAAGATGTGTGCAAACATTATTGTACAATATATGTAACTATAAACAAGTTTTAGTTTTATTTATGTAGATAAATTGATTAACTTTACAATGGCATTTAGGCCGTTTGTTTTACCTGGGCCTGATTTCCATGTGCTTAATGTACAAAGGATTGGTCGGATTTTGGGTTTGGTTTTTGGCTTTTTTGGGGACTTTGGGGTTTGGGCTATTATCATAGACATGTTGTTGTTATTTGCTTAAATGTATGGATGGCATTGGTCATGGCCGTGGGCAAACTGCAGATACAAATACAAATACTGTGGATTACCCATAGATAAACTATGGCGACAGGTGGGACAGCTTGGACAGGGACACAGTTAAAAAATGTACTTAAAATTAGATTATTATTTTGGCTCGAAAGATTTGAACTTTGCAGCTTTGCAGGGAATGGAGAATCGAAGACGATCGAAATGGGAATGAGTTTAGACCTCCGTGGACTTCTGCACTGATGGCGTGGGCGATGTGGCCAATGGCGGGGATGGTAGGCCACTGTCTTGCGTCAGCTGCTGCCCGCCCGGAAGAGTTGGCGCTGCCCTCAGAGGCGTGGCACTGGCAGTGACTGGCACACCCGAGGGTGGCCGGCTGTAGTACTGTGTGTTACTGGGTAGGACAGGGACGCCGCCGAAGCGGTTCTGAGCCGCCGACTGTGGTGTGTAGTTGATGGAGCTGCCGGCGCTGGTGCGACTATCGAGGCCGCTGAAGGTGGGACTGTACTGCTGCTGGTGCAGGCGATCGGCCTCCTCCGGCGACAGGGGCTGGTGGTAGCCGGCAGGGTGAATGGTGCCCGTGTGGACATCGGCCTCGTCAAAGTCATCATCGTCCTCGTGATCGTGGGGTCCATCGACGGGCGAGCCATCGCCGCCGTGCTGGTCCAGGTCGGTGCCAGAGGCGCGCAGGGAGCGGCGGCCGGTCTGCTTCGGCTTCTCACCTGTTACGTGAGGGTTATTAATGTAGGAAATGTCCGTGGCTAACTTTGTGCTAGTTCTATTATCACTACCTTCCGATGAGGTCACATCCTCGTCGTTCTCATCCAGATCCCATTTCTTTGCTGGAAAATCAATTTGCGGTTTGCCCGGTAATGGTTCGTTCGTGCGATATACTTTATCGTAGGACCTACTTTTCTTGAGAGTGCTCGCATCGGTATCGCTGTCATCGTCATAATTCAGGGTACGCAAATTCCGAGCAGAGCTGGCACGCGACCTGGGCAGCATCGGCATCTGCCATTGTGGGTCCTCCTTCAGCTGCTTCTGGCGGTAGCGGTAGACGCCACACACGATGCACAGCATCAGCGGGCAGATCACGAGGAAGATAATGCCAATTGCAATGAAAGCGACGCGACGCGTATAATACACCTCACCTGTGCGAGAGCAACAAGGTCAAAGGTTGGTCAAAGACAAGGCAAATAAAGGTGAGTTAAGCGTGGGTCTATGAAAGGGTTGCTGGGCCCTTAAATGGGTCTATCATCAGGATGATTTTCATGTTCTGGTGCGTATGAAAATATTCTTAAATAATACAATGATGTGCCTGATCTAGTATCTATATTATTCTGACTCTTAAAAAAATGAACCATACGCACCAGAATGATCAAAATTATCTTGATGGCACTCTGATAGGGATTTGATTTTAGGTGGAGGTACTTACGTAGACACTCCGTGTAGCCGTATTCGGGTACGTTCCACAGGCCGTTGGACAGGCACTCGCGTCGCTGATCGCCGATTAGAATGAAGCCCTCGTTACACTCAAACGAAACCTTGGCACCAGGCATGAAATCAAAGCTCAGCTTGCGACCAAAGCGAGGAGTCTGCAGCACACCACAGGATACCACCGGTCTGTGAACAGAAATCGTGTTGATTAGCTTTTAGTTGATTTCGTTTCCTTAGGTTTTTTCTAGACTCACTTGGAATTCTCCGCCTGCATATTCACTATACTGTCGTAGTAGTTCTTCGTAAAGTGCGCCAGATCTCGATTCAGCGTCATGGCATAGTCATACTGGCACTGATAGCACTCGCCGCACAGCTCCTCGGCACGCTCCAGGTCATAGGTGCGATTGGCGGGCAGGAAGTCAGCGGGATCCACCACAAAGTTGGGCTGGAAGGTGGCGTTGGCATAGTAGCTGGACATGCGTCCGAATTCGCGGGTGAACAGAGCGGCACCCACACCAGGCACCTCGCGATCTGTGAGCATCCATTTGAGGCCAAAGTTTGTGTGGATGCTGCGCAAATCATTGAGATTGAGTGAGGCCACCTGTCCGTTGGGCAGCATGAAGTCGTCCAACGGATTGAAGCTCCAATTGCCAAACAACCCAGCAGTTTTATTCTGCAAAATTAAAGCGATTAGACAAATGCTTATAGCAAGATTTGTTGTCTTTAAACTTACTATAAACTTCCAAGGGAGGAAAACGCGACCTGTCATGAAGCCCTCGTTCTCTACGACCTCGACGCCAATGCCGGCATCGAACTGCACCACCACCTGGGACTGATTGAGCAGGTAGGTGGGTGTGTACACGGAGACACCATCAAAGTGTTGAAACTTCAAGCTCTCGCGATCAAAGTACACCTTGCGACCATCGGCCAGGACATCCAATCGATAACGCCAGCGAGCATGCAGTGGACGCAAGCGAACCTCAATCGTGGTAGTGGTATTGCCCCTCATAGCCACTGCCGTGAGCTGTGTGGCCTGCACCTTGCCGTAGTAGTTGTCCGGCAGCTGCTGGAAGCGGCCCTGCACCTCGAAGCGGTTGCTCTCGTCAGTGCTGCGTGCCAGCACGAACTCGCCCAGTCCGTTGAAAGTGTAGGCACTGCCATCGAA